ATTCTATGATTCTAAGAGTGGTTGAGCAGTGGAACAGACTGCCTCGGGCGGTGGTGGATGCTCCTTCGCTGGACGCTTTCAAGCAGAGGCTGGACGACCATCTTTCGGGTATGTTGTAGGGCTCTCTTTCGGCTGTGCTCTTGCAGAGTGCCGGGGGTTGGACTAGATGACCTGCAAGGTCCCTTCTGACTCTAACATTCTATGATTCTAAGAGTGGTTGAGCAGTGGAACAGACTGCCTCGGGAGGTGGTGGATGCTCCTTCGCTGGACACTTTCAAGCGGAGGCTGGACGACCATCTTTTGGGGATGTTGTAGGGCTCTCTTTCGGCTGTGCTCCTGCAGAGTGCAGGGGGCTGGACTAGATGACCTGCAAGGTCCCTTCCAACTCTTCACATTCTATGATGCTTTGATCGCTCTAAGGGTGTATAGGTGTTCTCTCCCGATTTATTTATTTAATTTATACCCCGCCCCCTCTGTTGAAGCAGGCTCAGGGCGGCTTACTCAGAATGTATTGAACAGATGAAGCATAGAATTTAATAAAATAGGGCTGCCAGCAATGTTCCCTCTAAGCCGTGGAGTCTTGTGAGCAAAAATTCTGCTTTGTGAGCTATTGGCATTAAAGTTTTGAGCAAGTGATTGGGCTGCTGCATAAATTAGTTTGCTCTGGAGCCATTCTTCCTGAGCTAAGACAAAAATGTGTGAGCTGGAGGCTAAAAAACTGTGAGCTAGCTTACACTAACTCAGCTTAGAGGGAACACTGGCTGCCAGGTCCCTCCTGGGGGGCGGGATTGCTTGCTAGACAGGCCCCTTACCTGCTGGCCTGGATCTGGTCACCAGGGGGACCCCACCCCCAAAGTGCCGGTATCGTGGGGACATGCCCGGCGCGATGTCACCCAGAGGTGAGGTCTATGTTTTCCCCCTCAAATGATAGCGACCCTTCCACCAACTTGCCCGACACAATGACATCAATTCCGGGTAACGTCACTGCACGGAGCGTCGAGGATGTCCCGGAGAGGGGCCGGGACTCCCCCGCTGGAACAAAAGTAAGACCTGGCGACCCTAGAATAAAATCACAATAAATATAAAATGTGACATAAAGTGCTAGTGTGGATCGTAGAGCGGAGCATTAGAAGCAACCAACATAAGCAAACAGTCAGCTAACGTCATAGTCTGGGTCATATCGGTGGCGCGCAGGCTGTTAATGGTGGCGATGGTATTGGATAAGTATAGAGAGACCTCCCAGTTGAGAATCAACCGGAGAGATGCTATAATGCAATTGAGACTATATTAGAAACTATATTAGAAAATTACTAAATACAATACAAAATATCCACCAAGTGTAATACAACAATAAAGTGCTTAAAATTCATAGAAAATTACGTTCTATACATAAGAGAATCACAATATATTAACAAAGTTTCCGGCTTGTGGCTTCGTTTCGATCCTAAACTTCTTCAGAAGTGAATTCTCTTGCATATAATACATATTGTGTCTCATGCATATTCATATCATCTCCCTTATAAATAAAAGCCGAATGGTGGTGGTACTTCTCTAGAACATTCCACATGCTCCAAAATCAGTTCGCTCTCTGATCTGTCATTCAGAGGGTCTCCCTATCCACTGGCTGCTTAGCCTGAGTCCTGCCTCCAACATTCTAAACAGTTTTGTAGTGTATGCTGACCACCACCGGGGGCCAGCGAACAGCCAGAGCTTGGCTCTGGAAGAACAATAGGGACTAGGCTCCTAGTCCCTCCACTGGGGAACCAATGGGAACCATGGCGGGAGATTCAAACCCACCAATGGTGACCAGCGGTGTGTCCCCAGGTATGTATATAGTTGGCCTGCCGGCCGGTTGTTCCTTGTTCTTGTTGTGTACCAAATAAAGCGTGCCATGCACCACGTTGTCGTCGGTCGTTTATCCATGCGGCAACCCACTACATAACAAATGAGAAACTGGAAGATTTGCTGTCAGTTTCGGAAGAGGTAGTTACAATTGTAGTACATTTAAGAACAACGACAAAAACAGAAAAATTGAATTGGCTGTCTTATTTTCAGGGGTTTTTTTTACATTTAATGTTTATTATTTAATGTTCAATATTCTCAGGCTTCCCAGAAAAACCACAGCATTTTCTTACTGAAGAACAAAATAATCCATTACCTGGCTTCCCCATATCACTTTATATTTGTAAAATCGTAAAAATATACTAGAACAGAATTTCCAATCAATTCTTTATGCTCCCTTGCCTATTAATATGCAGACCTTTCCCATTCAGATAGTATGGCCTGTTTTCAATGCTTTTGGGAAACAGGGTTTACCTCCCTCTTTTCCCACAGCATCGTGATGCATTCATGCTCCTCTCAGGTTTTCCCTAGCTTTTCTTTGATCTTTCCCACACCTGGTTTGCTGCAAAGTTTTTGGAAAGATCACAGATAAGCCTAGACTTCTGCCAGTCCTACCCACATGCCAGACCTTTACCCTGCCCTAGTCCCTGTAGCAGCCATTCCTCCACTGCCAGAAGGTGGCTTTTAAAAAACAACAACTGGCAATTGAATATTGTTATAACTATGTATCAGTTAGGTTCTCTGAACTCCCAGCTTTCATTTTTTTAAAAATAATTCAGTAGATCCTTTTTATTGCACAGATATGTCTTTCCTTTTATATCTTCTCAAAGAAAAGTGCTAAATACGTACTTTAAAAAAATGAAAGCTGGGAATTCAGAGAAAGACATATTGTTATAATGTAATAAGACTTCTTGTTGTTCATTCACACAGTCGAGTCTGACTCTTCGCAACCCCATGGACTTCATCACACCAGGCCCTCTTGACAATTTAAAAAAAAACCTTAAAAATCCAGAGTGGTCAGGTGGGGGAGGGGGGACTGGCTGCTGCCAGTGCCAACAGTCTTGGGGCATGGAAAAATCTGCCATTCAGAGGCCCGAATGCCATTGCACTGTATCAGCAACTGTGGCAGTTATGGGAAACTACACAAGCCTGTACATTTGTGGAAAATACCAGAGCAGAGGTCTCCAACTTGGTGCCCATGGCCACCACGTCTTCCACTGTGTTTTTAGAAAGTGGGCTGGTTATGATATAATGCTGACAGTGGCTTTATGTAAAGTACTTTACCCATACAAATAGCAGAGTGATCTTCTAAAAACACAGTGGGACTTGATTCTGAATAAACACAGTAGGGCTGCATGGCTAAAATGCTTCATGTACCTAATCTGAACTTCTGGTAAATTCATCAGATCTTCCCAATTTTCAGCATAGAAAAATTAATAAAACTTAAAAAAAAAAAGATCTTCCCAATTTTAAACTATTTTTATGATTCAGGTAGAAGTTAATAACATCACTACATCAAATCTTGTTTACTTTTCAAAAGCCATTTATGTTATCAAAATCCGGCCAGATTCTCTCTCTTACTGTGCACATGTACAAGGAGCTCTCACCAGCACTGAAGAAACATTTTTCCTTTCCCTTTTGCATGTGCTAGATGCCTGCAAAATGAAGACAGTACTGCCAGATGACAGCTAGCTCCATACATTTACTTATTTTGTGTGTATGCAAGAAAATATTTTAAACAGTATGCTAATTTTAAAAGGCATCCTGCTTAGCAGAGCTTCTACCTGAAATGTTGAAGAGTTATGCTTAATTTCACTCCAATTTTGTGGTTGGCTCAGCCTTCTGTGGCAGCCATTTCGTGGTTGTGCATGCCACCCTGTCACAATTCTGCAGGCACCCTCAGACTCAAAAAGGCTGGGGACTCCTGCACGAGAGCGACTAGTGAACTAAACACCCTTTCATACTTGCAGCTGGGTTGATCTGGCTACAATAGCTGTTTTAAGGTTATCTGATAAAGGAATCTTGTACTCTTGAAAACTCACCCCCCCTCCCCAAAATCTTGCTGGTCTTTAAGGTGCTACTGGACTCAAATCTAGCTCTTCTAGTACAGACCAGCATGGCTTACCCTGTGAAACTATGTTCTAAGGTTATAATGCATTTGACTAATCAGTTGATGGTATCTCAGGAATTTGATGGCTTTTTTGTCCAACACTTATGAAAATGCACATTTTACCCAATTATTATTTTGAGCACAAAAGACTTCCAATTTACCCAAGCATTATCATTAGTTGAAAACTTTTTTTAAAATGCCCAGAAATTGTCTATATAAAATCAAAAACCTTTTTTCTACCTTGGCTTAATTTTTTCTAAAGAAATAATGTTATCCATTTATGGTTTGTGTTTCTAACAGAAAATGCTTTTGTTATAAAACAAACCACATTCTTGGAAGAGTTAATATTAGCTATTTACCATGCACTGTTATGCACAGAACTTCACAGGATGTCCTCACGGTAATAATTTTTAAATGCCAAAATATAGTGATTAATCTAAGACTAACTCTCAGTAATCCAGTTTTTCCAGAAACCAGCATTAATATTCTTGCCAATTAGCCCATACTCAACCCTCTTATTAATTTATGTTCCTGAACCCTGAAGTTTATCAGCAGGGGTGGTGGTCAACCTTTTGTGTAGTTAAATACAGTGCCTGACCCACCTCCTCTTCTCCCTCCAGGTGTACCTGGCCTGCCTTGCTCTGAAAAACCTCTGGGCTGAGCCACCTATTCCCTACAAGCGGTCTTTGGATGAAGGATCTGTTGCATTGACCACCCTTTCCTCTTCCACCACCACCACCTCGTTTCCCAGCAATGTGGGGTACCCTGAGAACGTGGGTACTGCCTCTTACCCATCCACTCCTGTGCCCAACCGACTGACCTTAATGAATTCTGATGCCTAGGCAATTATTTATTCATGCAGTGAATAAAGAGAGAGAGAGAGAGAAAATCCATTGCTTTATCAGAACATTCATAATTTCTAATATATAAACTTGCCACTGCTAAAAACAGTATGAAAGTTAGAGGAACAAGAAATAAACAAGAGTGATGCCCAGGATCATTCTAAGAGGGAGAGGAAGAGAAAAGACAAGAGCCAGCCCACATGCTAAATAACATGGCTCGGCTTTGCAAAGTCAGGGGTGGTCACTCACTTCCTGCTCAACTTGTCCAAGCTCTTACTCAAATGTTGCAGCATATACCAGATACATCCCTTTAAAACCAGCACAAGCAGTCCAGATAGATGCACAGAGACCTTACAGCCTGAGAAGAGAACTAAGAAATACATGTGTGCAATTGCCACAGTACCATGCTGTGTTATCTCAGCTGAAAACAGCAGTATAGAGTTTTGCAGGCTAACAGGCCAGGACATCCATCCATAATAGTGCCAGGAAAAGCAGTCAGCTGTCAGCAACTGCTGCTTACCTCAGTCAAGGAAAAAACAGCCAGGCTTCTGCTGAGGAGTCCAGGTATACTCCTTCTCTTACTGGATTGATACACTCATATAAGACAGATGCTTATTTCTTTTAAGAAATTCTTCCTATATATGGGATTGTGTGGAAAAATTTAAGCATAGAGCAGGCTATATGCATGGGTTTTACCACAATCATGGTGGCATTTTTGCTAGTTGGTGACTGCCACAGGCTACATCACCCATCCACACAGATATTTCTCTATGCAGTCTCATTGCCACAGGCTACATCACCCATCCAATTCCACACAGATATTTCTCTATGCAGTCTCTTAGACAAAATAAATGGCTAGCTTAGACATGCGAACCACCCTACAGTGTCAAATTACCCATTAATGATAGCTGAAAAACATTCAGCTTTTCATAGCAAGTGCTTAACTTTCATAGCCAAACAGTTGGAAAACAATATATTTTTAATCATTATATACAGAAATGCTGCTGAACAAATGTTTGAAATAAACTCTAACCCTGTCAGTATACCCTCCTACAATAAGCCACATATAACTAAAACCAAAGCCTTGGAGATTCTCTATAAAATTAGTAGCCCAGCTTTTCTTTTTTTTACAATACTTTTGTGCCTTTGTAGTTTGAAAGAAAACCTGAGGGACCACATTTGATGTCTTAACTCATCCTCACCCTCTCCAGTGAGAGAGGCTGTTCACATGCAAGCAGCCTTCTGCATATTTTGCAAGTAAAGATTTGTATGTTGATACATATCCCCACTTGTGTTGTGATCTGAGCCTCACTGAACTGGCAAAATGCATCTTTTAATACAGTTGAAGAAGAGTTGGATTTATACCCTGCCCTTCACTCAGAGCATCTTACAATTTCCTTTCCCTTCCTCTCCCCACAACAGACACCCTGTGAGGTAGGTGGGGCTGAGAGAGCTCTGAGAGAATTGTGACTAACCCAGGGTCACCCAGCTGGTTGCATGTGGAGGAATCAAACCTGGTTCTCCAGAGTAGAGTCTGCTGCTCTTAACCACTACCCCAAACTGGTTCTCTTGAGAATGTGTATCTAGGGACATTTTGGACTACAGATAGATCAGGACCAGAAACCAAAATTAAAAAAAGGAAATGCTTGACTTATCGAAAAGAAAAACAATTATACTATTCTATTGGTTCAACTGATTTTTTTAGAGGACTGGTAATTCCTATCTGTTTCACTCCTACTAGCTAAGATGCATTAGTTTGGACTGACTTTGCAGACACAACTTCTTCTCTTGATTCCCCTTAATGTTTAGGCATGCATTCTGCTTCCAAGCAACACCCATGACACAGGGTTAATATGTTGCCTTGAGTTTGATATTAATCAGTAAGATTTCCTTTACCATGAATAATTCTAATTATTTCCTAAAGTGTTTTTACACATGAGACTTGTAATGGTTCATGCTATAAACCTGTGCACTGTTAAATAGGAAGTAAACCTAACTGAATTCAGTGTGATTTGTTTTCAAGTGACTACAAATAGGATTGTGCCATAAATCGGTAGCCTAGAAAGTGTTTCTTTTCAGTATATTCCATATTCCATCTCACATGGGCAACACCCACAGATGACATGACTTGCTCTTGGACAGGCTTTTTAGTGTCATGTAAAAACACACACAAATGTATTATTTGCTAAGACATAATGTTGCTGTCAGGTGGTGTCAGAATCACATAACTGTGGCAGCCACAGAAAATGTTTACTGTCTCAACACAAGCATCTCATGTAAAAGAAGTCACAAATGAAACGCAGACACAATTCTAATCGAAATCAAAACAACCACAGTATGAAAGATTAGCATGGGAAATACAAACAACCACACTGAACAGAGAAGCACAAAGATGACAATACAAGCAGGCAACAAAAAATTATTTTTATTTAAATTCCCATCCCTCCCACAAAGGCACTAATTAGTGGAGAAGGGGGTAGTTTGTTTATTTTTCTATTTCAAGTGGATGAGGAAATAATCATCAAATGTACAGGATTCAGGATTAAGAGACAATGCTTAAAGGAGCAGATCTTCACTTGTCCAACTACTCTTTTAAGAAAGTGAGACTCCAAAAACCACTGCCTGAAGGAATCTGAGATCAAATTTGTGTTTCCAGCTGGTTATTCAAATAGCATTAGGCCCCTTGCAAAAAGAAAAAGATTTCTTAGCCGTTGTCAGCATAAGATCCAAAACATGAATCCAAAGTGAGAGAAGATGCCCAGTTTTCTTTAAAAAGAAAAGAAAAAAGTGTATTTCCTACCTGTGCTGGTTCATCAACAAAATAAGAAGAGCCAAGAGCAACAGAAAGGGAGGAACAGAATGATCAAAAAGTTTTGAGAAATCTATACACTAAATTCATATCCCGTCTCACCCCCATCTGTATCAGTCTCTTGAACAAAAGGACCATCATTGTTTTGTCCCAAATCACACTCCCTTAGATAAAAGTTCACGGTCAAGAACAGACCAGCATGTGACTAACATGGTGGTTCATTGTTTTTAAAAAATCAGAACTGCATGTTTTTAACTTCCTGTGATGATTCCCTTCATCCTCTTCCTCGATCAAAGGATTTTGTCGTGGTCTCAGTACTATGCTGGCAAACTCAGTTTCTTGCCCTTTAGAACTGAAGGAGAAAGAAAAAGCATATATGAACATTTTAGGGAGGTTGGTAGGAACCTTGCCCACTACTGAAATTAAACTGCCTCTGAGAACAAAAATCTATTAAGCAAGAGCTTTATACCAGGCACCACAAAATACCTGGTCATATCTGCAAATTGTACCTTTACTTTCAAATATGTATATACACCAAATATAAACATTTTAGACTTCAAAAAAGCAGACACAGACTTTAATATTTAATCAAGAAATTTTGATGCCTAAGTAGGGCAGAAAATCCAAATGACTCCACTACAATGGTAAAAATATATTAATATAACTACATAATTGAGAGTTTGTTGCTCTTTAATGGTCTCCCCCCCCCAGTGTTCTGAAACAGCAGTTTCATTGTGCCTAATGACAAGACTGCTATTAAATTCCACAGGAATAAATTCTTATAAGGTACACTTTGGACTGTTCAAGTTATTTATCTGAAACCGTTTTTCCTTGTCTCAGGGAGGAAGATAACTGAACTGCTAATTAATATGTTGCCACCATACAATGAGTATTTTAAAATTTAATTTTATAGACTGCTTATTCCAAAAGTATTCTCATGAAAGTACTCACAAGTTAATTAAGAGGTATATGCCCACAAAAGAACTTCCGGTTCGACCTGCTGTAGAGTGCCCTCTAGTGACCTTTAAATTAGCTGCATCTCAAGATAACATTTCTGATTTTCAGCAACTACACACACACATACACGCTTCACAGAGAACTTAAAAGTCTTCAATCCCCAAATCCCTGCTCATTCTGACTCCTACCCATCTCCTAGAAAATGAAGAGATGCTAGTTTTAAAGTACCTTTTGTAATGTAGAGGTAGAAGAAATCACAATAGAGTACAGTTTGCACCAAGCCAGCCACAATGGCAATTAGGTCAAAGAAGCCCTCAAACTGATAACGCCAGATCCAGTTGAACAGATAGAGAGTGCGGTAGACACCCAAGGCGAAGAGATAGTGACTTGTGATGGTCTCTGCCTCACCCGTCTTACTAACCATGAAGAGTTGTGGCAAGATAGCCACTGACTCCAGGTAGATGGAGAACGTCCAGAGAATCTAGAGGTGAACAAGAGAAAGAGTTTTTGATCGGCAAACATATTTCTGATAAGGAAGCATAATTTAGGGGCAGCTTATAATATCCAAAAAACATGTGCTGCCATCACAGCGGTAGTCTAAACATTTTTACTTCTAAAAACATTTATATCCTGTTTATCCAAAGTTCAGTGTGGCTTATAAAATAAACATTTTAATAAAGAGCCGTGATTAGGATTTGCCACTTTTAAAAAGGCTAAAAACAGTACTGGGGGTTAGCTCTTCCCAACCTGTGTTGTTTTTCCAGGCTCAATTGCCGTCCCCTCCCTCCAGACAAGTAATCCATCTAGGTCAGCATCCTGGCCCCACAAACCAGAAGCAGGGGCAATTAAAAGTGTGGGGGGGAGCTGACATTGGGCAAAAGGCACATAAGGAAAAGAGTTAATCCCCTCCCCTTGTCTGGTGCCCATTTCAAACCTTCCCCCTGCCACGAAAAAGAGTTAACCCCCTCCCCTTGTCTGGTGCCACTGTGCCCATTTCAAACCTTCCCCCTGCCACACGCCTTTTGCTTTTGGGCTTTTTAAGAAGGCATTCACACAGCAACAATTCCCCTTTTTCCAGTCATTGCTGCTGTGAAAGCAGAGGCTTTTGCAATGGCAATGGAGCATCCACCTGGGAAGAATTCTCTATGCTTCCTTGGGATCCCCTTGTGCCCACCATTCCCCCCCCACACACACACTGGAACACTTTTTGCCAGCTTAAAATAAAGTAGTAGCTCTATTGCTATAGTATTATGATGCTGTAGCAATAGAGCAACTACTGATTTTTTTTTTAAGCCTGGAAAAAATCCCACAAGTTGCATAGGAGGGGGGAAATAAGCAGGTGCAAGGGGATACCAAAGGAAACTGGAACCAATGTGGGTGGGGAAGTTAAAAAAATCGGTAATGTCCTGCCCACATGGGCAAAACTACTTTGACAGGGATCCTTCTGGAAACACCGTGCCAAGGGAGATTTGGGGAAAACTGCAACAAAGCAAGGGAAAACCTGGAAGGTGGATGATTGCTTGATGGTGTTAGGTGGATGCAAAACCACCCCCCCCCCAACAACACACTCCAGTTTGGGAGGGAGGAGAAAGCAAAACATCCACATGGAAGCTGCCTAAGATAGGCATGAGCTTTCTGTGTCATTTCTCCCTTCCATCCTGTTGCAGAAAAGTTGACTCTTGCTTTAAGCCATCCACCATTGTAAAATGTATTTGATGAATACTCTAGAGATTTAGGGTATTCTGCACCAGCTCATTTGCATGTGAATTTGTCCCTGAAAATATCACAAGGGGCTGCTGCAGCCTGCAACCTGTTGGCTCACCATCTCTGTTAGCATCCTAGTGCCTCATTGAAGAGTACCACCAACCCCTACTGGGGTAAGTATCCTGAGAGGTCCCTCTTTCCAGTTGTTCCCTTGCCCCACACCTCCATTAGCACAGACTTTCCCTATGCCTCCATTATCAGACTTTCTCCTTTTTAAAAGACGGTTGACTGAGCGGTAATAAACCAATCCACCCCCCCCCCCCCCCCCTCTCTCCTTTCCAGCTTTCAGGGCTCTTTCTGATGTTTCACAACACCAGCTTTATCACAATCTCCCTCCACCTACCCCTCTTGGAGCTGATTTTGCATAAATGCAGTTCAGTACAAGTACCTAAAGGCAACTGGACAAATCAACACCATTTTCAAAACCAAGATTAAACCCCAGCCTTTAATCCTAAGAAGAGACAGCACACACCTAGGGAACATGCAGGTAACCAGAACAAGTAGCAGCCTGTGGAGATATGGTGGAAAGTGGCATCAAGGCCAACTTACAGCAGCCCCAAGTCAAGAGATGAACAGAGGTAGATTGCCATTGCCTGCCCCTGTGTAGCAACCCAGGACTTCCTTGGTGGTCTCCCATTCAAGTACTAATTAGGGCCAACCAAGATTTGAAGAGAGATATAGCATGAGAAAAATAACATGTTTAAAGGGTCTCTGGTTCCTGGTACCAGGAAAGACCTTTCTCTGTCTGAGACCTTGGAGAACAGCTGTCTGTCAGAACAGGCAGCACTGAGCTCAATAGAACAAAAGTCTGACTTGGTATAAGGCATCTTTTTATATTTACATGATATCCCGGCATGACAGATATACTGAGAGGCACCTGTCATTTGGATGGCATGCTGAAATGTTGTCACCAGTTGAGACGAAGAAGCATTTTTAGGAGTAGGATGGGGAGCAGGTGTCAGGTTTTGTTGTTAGTGACAAAGTCTTTGTTACCTCTAGGGGAGTGAAATCATGGTTCACTAGGAAGGCTAACACTGCTGTGGGAATAACCAGAAACTCCACCCGAAAAGTATCATGGTTGCCATCGTAGGTGGCTTTGAATTTGCTATAGATCATCCACACTGTGGCATAAGAGCACGCAATGTAAACCACCTAAAGGAGACAAAAACAGATCAAAAGGAATCACTGAGGAGCAAACTATATGCACCCATCCCCCCACTGCTTACTAGCTAGCTAAAGTATTCCTTCACATTTTGGGACTCCCTAGGAAATCTGACCTCAAGATTAATATGCCCCTCTGCTAAAACAAGTTCTTGTTTATACCTCTGTCTTCTAGATTTGAGTGCCCCCCTTAGCTTAACCAACCTCCCATCCACCCAAAACTGTTTACACATAACAAGGGTATTTTCCACGGGGGGACAAGTCTTGTGTTGTTTCCCTATTGCTGCTGTGGCTGCTGATACAGTGCAGCAGCAATGGGCCTTCCACTTAGCAGGTGTCTCTGCCCCAGTGGCCTGGCAGGGGCTATCCCCCTCCCCATGCCACCAGGGCTTTTTCATTCAAAAGAAAAATTGGCAATTGCATATCATTTTATTGTTGCATTTACTGTTATATCATTATATCACGTTCTCCGACATGAACCTTTCATTAAAAACAGCAAATTTCTAGCCCCTTTTGTTGCAGAGATATACCTTTCCCCTTACATCTCCACAACAAAAAGAGTTAGAGACTTGCTTTTTTAAAGATGAAAACTGGGAATTGAGAGAACCTGACACACAAATTGTTATAAAGACATGATGATATTCAATTGCCTATTAAAAACCAAAATGCCCCTCAGTGGCAGGGGAAGGAAATGGATGGAGCAGAGAAAATGGCTGCTGCATAAGCAGGACCAAGAAGATACAAACTGTCCCATCCACAGGTTTTAATGTAATTGTTTCTGAACCTTAGCAGCACAGCAGATTTGGGAAGCATTGGAGAAAAGCTGGGGAAACCCTGGGAAGTGCACAAATGAACTATGATGCTGTGGGGAAATGAGGGGGAAAAAACACTTCCTAGCAGCACTGGACCCGGGACAAAAAGCCTGTGAGGAATTAGGCTCTCCACCCCCCCCACCCCCCAATTAAACTGGTGCAGCTTTACTAGCCCAGCACTGCAAAGCACCTGCCCATTCCAGCTGAGTTTTCAGTACTAATCATATGGCATTGTGTGTAGTATAGCCAGGAGATCCTGTCTGGCAGCTTAAAGTTCTAGCTCTTTTAGTGTTATGGCGAGCTAGACTTATTTTGGGGGCTGAGAGAGCTCTGAAAGGACTGACCCAGGGTCATCCAGCTGGCTTCATGTGGAGGAGTGCGGAATCGAACCCAGTTCTCCAGATTAGAGTCCACCACTCTTAACCACTACACCACGCTGGCTCTCTTTACTGTCTTTAAAAGTTAAAAAGGTAAAGGTTCCCTTGCTCGAAAGCCAGTCGAATCCGACTCTAGGGTTGCGGTGCTCATCTCAGTTTCAAAGCCGAAGAGCCAGCGCTGTCCGAAGACGTTTCCATGGTAATGTGGCCGGCATGACTAAACACCGAGGCGCACGGAACGCTGTTACCTTCCCACCGAAGTGGTACCTATTTATCTACTTGCAATTTCTTGCTTTCGAACTGCTAGGTTGGCAGGAGCTGGAACTAGAGACGGGAGCTCACTCCGTCATGCGGCACACTGGGGTCTTGAACCGCTGAACTACTGACCTTCCACAGCCTGCAGTTCAGCGTCTTAACCACTTGAGTTAGGGGGCTGTCAAATAATTGACCCTTTTGAGTGTACTGCCTTGCTTCTAACATTTTATTCGCATAAGATTATGCTAGCTTTCAGCTTCTCCAGAACTACTCCGAAGCCAGAAAGCCACAAATAATGAAGTACTTTGTATCACACAAAGGTTTGTTTACTCTTCTACAAACGTTTAAGCGTTCTTATCCTCTGCAAATGACATGGCAATAAGTGTCCATACCAAATCATTCTTAATAAAGTTAATTAATATATTCAGTACAGAACCCCAAAGAACGTTTATGGGATAGGAAACATAATAGCTTCTCTTGATCTAACAGCTAAGAAACAAATAAATTAATATGACTGGCTGCCTATATACTCTCCGGCCACCAATTGTGACACCAAGTTAATTCAGGCAAAGCTTGGCCTAGAAGAGTAAGCTCTGATGATGAGGCCTCCTCTCCTGTCTGAGCATCTTCCTCGCTATCCTATCACACTCTCTTTCTGTCCAGTCCCGAGTCAGAGTCAGACTTATCCAGTCCAGCATCAAGCCTGTACCTTCATGGATGTGTTGTACAAGGAGATGTAGTTGGTAAATAGATCTAGGTACCGAGTGGTGAAGACAATGGCAAAGAGAACTTGGCTCTTTCCAGAAATCCCTGCATAGAGAAGCAGAGGGCAGTGAAATTCACACATAACCACAAGGGAAAGATGGGAAAATCTGTGAAACAGGTCTTCTTGGGGGCAGTGGCCCAGAGGAATCATCTGTCCTCAACGATCCCCCCCCCCCAAAAAAAATAACAACAACAACACAGAGCTGGGATAGATTCATCATCAGGATTTATACAATCCACTGCTAATATATCATGAGGCCTACTTTAAGAGATAATCCACGGCCTTTCCCAGTTCTGCACAGCAGGGAGAAGTCTCCTGCTCAGACTGACATTAGTCTGGTGGCTTCCCTACAGCCCACCCTCTTATTCTGTATGGAAACTGGCATCATTCAAGCAATCGTGAAGCCTAAATATTCCATCTTCCACCATGTAGAAGACTGAGAATAGTAAATGCTTTATCCAACCCAAAGTAATTTTCACATCCTCGCGCATCCCTTTACACAGAGACAACACAGTTCCCCGCAAGAGGCCTGTTACGAAATTCCACAAGTTTCATCCACAAAGGGACAAAATTAAACTTCCTGTTAGATTCCCATTTTGGACACTTTCTTCCCTTTTTCCACGTTACAACTACCGTGCACGTACACTCACCCCCCCTCCACACTCACCCCCCTTTAAATAATAAAATGTATCTTATTATTTTTTTTGTATTTTTGTACTTTTTTATATGTGTGTACATGTGTGTACACTTGGAAGTCATGGCGACCTCTGGAGACTGACCCCTACTGGGGGCCTGGAGGATATTTAGAGAGGTGGCTGAATAAAGCCTGGCCTCCACCCTGCCTCTGGTATTTCAAGGAGGTCTCCCATCCAAGTACTTGCCAGAGCAGACACTACTTAGCTTCCGAGATCTGACGAGATCAGGCTTGCCTGGACTACCCACATATCTTTTATTTAAAGAGTATTGCTGTAAAAACTGAATGCACCCTACAATAACCACACTTAAAGTTTCCTGCAACTAAAAGTTCTATCCCCACACTTAGTCACAGGCTTTAATAAAGCCAGCCTCTGCCTTCAAGAAAAAAAGACAGTGTCTCCGAATGCAACTTGTGGGCACGGTTAAATACAAAATAAACTCCTAACTTATTCCAACAAAGTTTCTTCAGTTTTATTTAAACATTCAAGATGATGTTAAAAGGAATGTTTAAATCTGATCTCTTGAGATTTTTTTTCAAACTACCACCATTGTCCTAAGTATATGAATACATGATAGGCCCTGTAAGGCTGTGATCCTGCGCACACTTACCCAAGAGTAAGCTCCATTAAGCAAACACATAAATGCTTCTGAGTCAGGATGCATAGGATCAGACTGCACAGGTCCCCAGTTTGAAAGGGAACGATTTAGCAAAGAAAAGGCCTTTGCAAATAATAATTTTTGTGCAACCAGCCTCTTAAAACCCGGGGGAGTTTATTTTTCTATAGATAACCAAGCACATCTTGTCTCCCTCGAATCTGTCAGTGCCAACTTTAAAAAAAAAATCCCAAAATTAATTTCCAAGTTGGGGTGAGGATAAAAACCACAGCAGCGATATATCTGATAATTCCATTAATTTGGGTTCCTGAAACAAATATTTAGAAAAAGGAAGGAGTGGAGTTAATCAACTGCTTAAATTCAACAGCTTAAAAAAAAGTTAAAGCCAACTCATCACTTTAAAGGACTACTCAAGAGAATGGGAGGGAAGAAAGGAAGAGGAGGAGGAGGGGCCAGTGAGCCAGTATTACAAAGCGTAAATTAGTCAATTACAGATTGGCTTAGAGACGATTCGACACATTCATTGTGTGTGATCACCATTCTCACACAGGGCATAATGGGCATTTTACATTCCTGTGGAAAGCTATAACGGGAACAGACAGAGCAGCCTCCTGTCTTACCAGCACATGATCTCGTCTTCCAGATCTTCAACAGCAAGATGATTATAGCTAATAGATGAGATATGTCTCCTAGGAAGCGGAATATATTCATCGTTTTCCGGGCGTTTAGTAGAGAGGCTTGCTTTAACTTCCCAGTGGGAAATCTGCAGAAAGAGTGGGAAACGGCGGCGGTCCGGAAAGGAGCAGATCCCCGGTGGATGGACGGGGTAGCGTGCGAGGGAATCCTTAATTTTGGTTTTCTCCTTTTTGATCCAAATCAAGCTGTGCGGTGTGTCCGTAAGCCTAAGGAGGATGTCTGGGAAGGAAGGCCCCAAAAGGGGGCGGGGAGAGAGGAGGTTTTCCACACCCACAGTGGGGCCGGGTTTGCCGCGGAGAAGGGAGGGGTCGGGGATATGAATGGAAAAAGCGTGGAGGAGCTTGGCTCGCTACGGTCAGTGGGGGAGATCAGAGCTTGCCGAAGCGTCTGGTGTAGGAAGATCCAAAGTTTCCTGCAAACAAAAATCGCACGTGCACATAAACATTGTGGAGAAATGATCGCAGTACTTCGGCCTCCTATTAAAACGGGTTTGAGAGTGGAGTTATACGGGGGCGGTGGAGAGCTGCGCGTCTTGTGTTCTCGGAGGCCATGCCCATCGCAGAAAGCGTAGGAGTCCTTGCTTCAGCTCAGCCAGATCCCGCACTAGTGATCTGCAGATTTTTCTGAGTCCCCAGTTCTGCAGGAATGATGCAAACTTGGTGGGGTGGGGGAATTAAATTTTTAAAATGCCCTGCAAGGAAAAGACGAGAGGGATGCGGTGCCATATTTCAGAGAGGCGACTAAGGCTTCCTGTGATTAAAAATGCCCTCAAGTCGCAGTCGATTTATGGCGACCCCGTGGGGTTTTCAAGGCAAGAGACGTTCAGAGGTGGTTCGCTATTGCCTGCCTCTGCGTCACAACCTTTAACTTCCTTAGTGGTCTCCCATCCAAATACTAACCAGGGCTGACCTTGCTTCGTTTCTGAGATGATCAGGCTATACTGGGCCATCCAAGTCAGGGCTTTAGACTCTGGCAAATGAATCTAGGAAGGGTTCTGATTTAGTCGGGAGGAATTGTGTTTTTAAAAGGAAGATCACCAGGTTGGAGAGGGGGGCATAGGCTAGAAGAACATGTTAAGGTATCTATCAGAAAGCTCAGAAGGGGGCATTGTGTTTGGAGTAATGCAAAATGGTAACTGTCCTACACACACACACACTACCTGTATTGCCCTGTATTAATTTTGTCTTGGTCACACATGAACTGGGGTTTTCCCTCAGTTTGGTGAGGTGCCCAATTTAGATCTGGCAAATGTACCATGTTTTATTCAGGTACAAACTCTCCCTCTTCTGCAAGGACAGATCTGCAGGTCCCCCCCCCCAATAGCTAGCAATCCAAAACAGTCCAGTAACGCCTGAGGGGTGGGTGTTTCCTTCTGACACACTTCTGGTGATGTCAGGGGGTGTGGCATATGCAAATAAGTCATGCTAATGAGCTCCTGCACCTCTTTTTCTATGAAATGACCCCGGCTAGAACCCACTTATCTGTCTTTTTGGTGGTCCGTGGTATCTGTAAAACTTTCCTCCAACAAAGGAATCTACTTCTTGTCAGCTTTCTTTCACACAATGGGAATAGAACCCCTGGGACTACTTTTGGCAATGAAAATGGGGGGCGGGTAAATCACCTCTGTTCCTGGCAGTCATGATCTGAATCAGGCACCCCAGGCATGGGAACTCAGGAGAACCCGCAACTCAGGTGTGACTGTTGCATCCTAGGCATCTTCACAATGGAAACTTGTGTCTGCAAAGTGCTATCAAGTTGCAGCCACGTTATGGTGAACCCATAGGGTTCTCAAGGCAAGATATCAGCAAACATCGTTTGCCGTTGCCTTCACTGCATAAAAACATCGGTTTCCTTGGTAGTCTCCCATCCAAGCACTTACCACGGCCAACCTGCTTAGCTTCAGAGAGCTGATGAGATTGGGCTAACCTGGAATATCCAGGTCAGGGTCAGTGGAAACTAAAAACTAGTATAATTATCACAATTTAACAGTGATGAAAGTAGAGTATATGTTTTTCTGCAGCACCCCTAATGTTACATCTGCAAATCTGGAAGAAACGTTTTGCGAGGAGTTCATGGGTTGGATCTGGCCAGCTTTCCCATTGGTGGAAAAGGGGGGGGGGGCTTTGGCCCCCGGAAAAAAGCCATCCTAGGCATCGTGGGACTTGCATGGACAAAAGCCATGTGGAATGGAGGGTGTAATTGGGAGTGACTGACCAAAAAAGCTAGCTACATCCAACCTTATCCTTGTGAATTCTTGCCTGCTTTCACCAATGCCTCATCCCCAGAATCCTGTGAATGGTAGTCTTTGGGAGGGGTGTGCACTCAGAGCCTCACTAAAGCTATTATCCATACATTTCCTTAGAGAAAAACTCAGGCAGAAAGTTTTTCTATAGCTGCAACTGTGTATCTGCCAATTAGAGCTGCACCTGTTGAAATTCTTCTGATAGGTCAGTGGGCCAGAAGAAGTGCCTCCAGTCTTGTTAGGGCTTCCTCCGAGGTAGATACTTGCCCAGGCAGCAGAGGCCACCCACTTATTTAATGGGCATCTCTTTCTTTCTCCTAATAAACATTATGTGCCGCTTTCCCACTGGAAAGAGAGTTATGCTCAGGGGTCGTTTTGTAGAAAAAGAGCTAGGGGAACTCATTAGCATAACTCATTAGCATATGGCACAGCCCCTGACATCACCGGAAGTGTGTCATAAGGCCACACCCCCTGACATCACCGGAAGTGTGTCATAAGGCCACACACCCCGCCCCCAACGATCCCGGCTGCCACCGCCGGCCTTGCAGCTCCATTGCTGAGCCCCATGAGGGGCCTGGCAGTGGACCTGCAAGGCCAGCGGGAGTGCAAGGAAGCCCCGCGAAGGCCCTCCCTGGCCCCAGGCAGGCAGAGGTGGGGAGAGGCAGGGAGGAAGCAACTTACCCTCCCTCTTCTCCTGCCTCCTCCTGGCTGAATGAGGGCCGGAAGCGGGGCAGCCCGAAGCAGGGGGCGGGGCTTGGTCCTGTGCCCTGCCCCCATACCTCACCCAGGGGAACTGCAATCCCCTGCGATCCCCCCCGAAATGACCTCTGGTTATGCTGCTGTCATTCTAATCCGGCTGCTCCTGTGATCTTGCTGGCATTCAGGTCTGCAGTGCTGGAATGGGTTCCTCCTTGTACCTGAGTGTTGCCAGCCTCCAGGTGGGGCTTGGAGATCTCCCAGAATTACAGCTGATCTCCAGACAACAGAGATCAGCTCCCCTAAGAAAATGGCTGCTTTGGAAGGTGGTTTCTGTGTAGGGTCACCAACTCCAACTTGGAAAACTCCTAGAGGTTTGGAGGTGGAGTATGGAGGCAGTGGGGTATATAATACCAGAGAATGCACTCTCCCAAGTAGTCATTTTCTCCAGGGGAGCTGATCTACGTCATCTGGTGGAGATCATTTGTTGTACCATGAAATCTCCAGGCCCCACCTGAAGGTTGGCAACTCTTCCACTGAGGTCTCTCCCCAACCCCCACCCTCCCCAGGCTCCACCCCCAAATCTCCAGGAATTTCCCATCCTGCAGCCCTAAAGTTTTGACTAAGGGTCAGCCACTAAGTTTTGTGCAGCCCCTCCAAGCTCACTGATTCTTGATCTTTCCTCCACTCCTCAAGTGCAAGAAGAGCCTGCAGTGCAGCAGGGTAGACCTCCACAGGCCTAAGAGGGGAGCAGAGGAGGGGGAAGTCCAGTTTGTGTGTGAACCATTAAGAGCAAAGCCCGCACACTGCAGCCAGGAAAATTGCTTAGGCAGTCCACTGTGCAGCTAGAAGCCAGGGCTTTTGGTCTTAACGTTCAGAGTGAACTGCACATCTTTTTAGGGCCATGCATGAAGACATTCCTGTGCTGAACTCCCTTTTGGGTAGGACTTTGCATGACTCTGGGGTGTTGATGGTCACATCAAACGGTACTTCATGCACAAAATACCTTTGTGTAGCAGGAAGCGTCATCCAGTCATGGCTTCCCAGCAGGTGTGCATTCTGAAAATAGCACATTTAGGATCATCATGAATGACAATCTACACAGGAATACCAGACATTGTTTCACAGAGTGACTCCTGCACAGGAGTTTCTCGTGTAAAACGGCCTTTACTTGGTATGCAACACTAATACACTTCTTTCTTTCTTTCTTTCTTTCTTTCTTTCTTTCTTTCTTTCTTTCTTTCTTTCTTTCTTTCTTTCTTTCTTTCTTTCTTTCTCCTTCCCCCCTCCATTAAACAGTAATTTTACTTTTCTTCATCTGTCATCTCCACGTTGGGCAAAAGGGGGCACTGCAACCTCAGAATTGATGCCTTGTCTGTCTCCAACCCTTCCAGTTCACACTGGTATTTTAAACTAGCATCATCCACAGGTGGACACGGCATCCCATCAGTTGGGAAGCGTTTAGGAGACATTTTAAATGTAGGACACCCTCTAAACATCCAGAGTCTTGACTGCCTGGGAAGAACAGGACAGTGTCTGAGATCTGCTTCTTTCTAGCACAGCGGCTATAGACCAGGCATCTGGAGTAAGTGCTGCATGTAACACTCCAGCTTTGGCAAATGCTTCTCCAGTTGCCACAGGATGGTAGCTGTTTCGTAACAGGCGGCTTTAGCTTGAGGCATTTCCCTACAGTGGTGAATTCCCAAATGGTTGAAGTTCAGAGAGCTGGGTTAAACCAAACCCTTGGTTATTTGCATTTCCTTCTTCGCCACTGCCTGCTTGGGTACCCATCTGGTGTTTCAGCCAGGAAGAACATCTTGGAGTGTTCCTTGTGATAATGAGGCCTGCGGCTAGTCGAAGCAGAAGTAGGTTTGGTCTGCATTTAGGTTAAACTGTGTATCCTCTAGAGCAAAAAGTAAATCAAGGGGAGTTTTTTATCCCTCGTACACAACCTGTTAGAACACAGGTTTCATTTAAAAGGGGGGGGGGATTTCTAAAAAGGCTGTTAAAAGTAAGCAGATCACAGATTTGGAAATACAACATTTCCACTTCAACAAAGATATTTCCCATTCAAAGCAAGCCCTGTCCTACTTTTCTCTGGGGTGTCAGAGATGGGAACAGCACACACACCCCTGCCCACCCATCCAAGCGAGCAGCCTATGGCTGCTTTTGCATTTTGGAGATTAGCATAGGGAATGTGCCACGTCCCCCTCAGCTGCACTCTGAGAGCTGCCACGTCCACACATGCAGCATGATAATGATGTGCATCTGAAGTGTGCCTAGTAGCAACGGCTCCCTT